TTTTTCTCAACTAAAATTTTCTAATTTATAAAGGCCATTCAACTGGTTTATCCTATTTTATCATTGCACTTTTGGTTTGAAAATTTGCTTTATTTTATTGATAAATGTGAATGATTAAAAGGAATACCACCTTTTTTGGCACTTTTATTTTTCTCTTTGGCACATTTTGGCACTTTTTTATCCTCAATATGGCACCTCATAACTAAGGATAGTTGGCAGCCCTGATTGGAAGATTTCTGCTGTGTTTTGGGGCAACAACTTGTCTGCAGTAAAAAAGCATATAATTTGTGTTTCAAAAGTGTGTGAAAACCAATCAATTCACTTATATGATCTCGGTTCCGATATTAAATAATCAATAATTGTTTATACCCGCATTTTGGCACATTGGCTCGTTGAATGTGCCATCTAATAAATAGTGTCGTCGTTCTCCTTAGCTGCTTTTAAATGACTGCTGGCGGAGACATAAATACAGTGTAAGAAAATTCTTTTTTTATAATTGTTTCCTTATAGAAAGGTTGGGTTCTTTTCCACCTTAGACATTCCGAATTCGTTCAAAATATGCTAATTTAAAACACAGAATTCTTTCAGTGTTCCTCCGGGGTTTTTGGACATGGACTGTTTCTTCAATTTAATAGTGTTCGCTTTATTTTTGTGGAAACGAAACATGTTTTGCAAGTTATGGATCATTTCTACACTCTTTCTTCAAATATTTCTCGTATTCTAGCTGTGCGCAGGCGTTTAGTTTTTCGCATCGTGTTTTTACATATTCGTAATTTAAATTTGTTTAATAAAAACAATTGGTGGTAGTTCATGATTGTGTGTGGATTAATATCACAACTTTGGCAATAACCTTTTTCATCTATTAAAAAACAACACTTACGGGGCAATGTTTATTGTAAGAACAACATTTTTTTCTATGAATGGACATACTTTAAGCATTGTTGACGCTATTTTCATTGGAATGGGGAAATAGCGTCAATGACTTTATTTCCAAATTTTTGTTGACTTTATTTCGCTTTTGAAAAGGTGCGCACCCTGGTGCGAAATAAAGTCAATTGACCTTATTTCCATTGACCTTATTACCTGTCACCGAATTTAAAACGAAATATTATTATTCCCCATATAAAATGTACGAGTATGGCTTTATTAAATGTTAACTTATGCGAAAACTTAAATATTTCTTAACTTAGGGTTAATATTGATGGCGTCTTGGCAATTCGCAGAAATTTAATAATTTGCCTGTGGATGGAGGACAGCGAGAGGAAGACGAAAGCAGATCAATCGTACATATGTATGCACATATTTACATTTATTAANAACGAAATATTATTATTCCCCATATAAAATGTACGAGTATGGCTTTATTAAATGTTAACTTATGCGAAAACTTAAATATTTCTTAACTTAGGGTTAATATTGATGGCGTCTTGGCAATTCGCAGAAATTTAATAATTTGTCTGTGGATGGAGGACAGCGAGAGGAAGACGAAAGCAGATCAATCGTACATATGTATGCACATATTTACATTTATTAATGCATACATATTTATGCATTTGTCTTATTGGATGAATGAAGAATTTCATATATGTGGTGATTTAGAGATTGCGATTTCAATAATGTACTGTGGCGCGTATGTTAGAGGTGATGCAACTTTTTGGCGTCTCGCCGTTTGTCTTGGTTCAAATCCCGGTCGGACCAAGTAAAAATTTTTTGTTTGTTTTTTATTTAATTGTCATATCCATATTCCATTTTAAATTTTACTATTAGCTTTGTTTAAAATAATATATGTAAATGGATATGTAGGTACAAACGCATGTATAATTTCACATAATCGCTCAAATTTGCCAAAAGTTACTGAAAACTTTATTGTAAATGTTTTCACTAAAATGTTAGTTATTGGAATTAAAATTTTATGCGAATCCAATTTTTATTCCCATTTTTAGAAAGCGCAAGTATGTATATATTCACACCATCAAAATTATTTCATAAGTAGGTAATTTTAAACACACATATGTATGTGTGTACATTACGGTGGTCCAAAAGCAGTAAAGTCGGAATTGTACTGCTCTCACCCCTAGATTGTTCTATATCGAAAAAAAGGTATACCAGTATTTTTTTATTTTGAAATCAAATAATATTCAGAGGTCGCTCAAAGCGCTCAAAGTTTTCCATGTATTTTTATATGGGAAAAAAACTTTTCGTAGAAATGGTATAGAATTTTGGAAAATCAATATTTTTCGATCGGAAAACTCTGGTTCTCTTCAGAAGACTTTCAATAATAATACCCAGTTGTTTACTTAACCATTTTTTAATACTAATGATTTTTTATTGGTCGCCCCATTGGATTTTTCGGGGTTTTTGGCTGGTTTGACCTATAAATTATAGTTACAATGAAAAAATGGTTAAATAAACAATTGGGTATTATTATTGGGAATCTTCTGCAGATAAACAGAGTTTTCCGATAGAAAAATATTGATTTTTAACTATTTTATACCATTTCTACGAAAAGTTATTCTTTCCCCATATAAAATACATGGAAAACTTTACGGGTATATTTTTTTGGTATAGAACAATCCTAGGGGGTGAGAGTATAAAAATTCCGACTTTACTTTTTC